GTCTTCGTTTTGCGAAAAAAAATCGTAGCTACGTCGCTCCGTAACGCAGGTCCGTATCGACGAAGACAAAGTACGCCGAAAAACGGTTGTCATCGGTACTTTTGAGGCGCTCAAAGTTTACTTTTTCGAAATTTGACGGTAATTCTGACGGTCAGAATCGTTTCGTCAGCTCATTATCGTTATTTTTCGATAGCTGTATAATTTTTACTCGCTCACGTACGGTAGTAATAAGCGAGGACAGAGCCGGATGACAAGGTGACTTTTTCACGCGTCGAAAAGTAGCGTATTGTCGAGGAATTTTTAAAAAATCGAAACTTTTCAACGTAAACGAATAATAATGATGAAAGTATTAAAAGAGTGTCCGAAGCATGGACTTTCTCACGCAAAAATCGTCAGGTTCGTAGCTCCTTTATCTTCGGAGGAGATAGCTGATTACGGCGAAGCAGCGCGCTTTATACGCAAAAAAGTCATTCTTGACGACGTTCGAGGTTCGTTTATTCGAAACGGGTACCGTAAACGAAAAAACGTCTCTCCGCGTAATTTGTAGCGCTCGCCGAGATGTACGAAACGCGGCACGCGAAATTCCTTTTCTCTTCGGCATAAGGGAGATATCGTAGTTTTCAAGGCGATTCGTCATTTTTGTCGCTTTTTTTTCGAACGTTTCTAGAAAAAAAACCGAGACGCGGAACCGAACAGATTTAGCTATAGGCACGTATTTTTCGTTTAGCTATCGAACGAGACCGATCTCGAGTCGATATTTCGATAAACGGCGAAACCAGTGTGAAATAACGCCGCGTACCGTCCGGAAAACGGTCGATTTTTCGACTTTACCGGCCGTTTTCGATCCGATCCGTTCCTCGCCGCGACGGCTCTCGCCCGCCCGTAAAGCGCCGAGTTTCTACTTTCCGAAACGGTACCTCTTTCCTTCCGACGTACCGCGAACCTCCTAAAAAACCGCGAAAACCGCGTCGACGTCAGCACAATTTCAACCCACCTCTACCAAAAAACAATCGATCACCGCTTAATATAGTCGACTAGCGCAGTTTTGGCATGCTAACGCTATGCCAAATATTGTACGTTGATGTCTTTATTTAAAACCTCACGTAGCGCAGTTGCTGGTATGCTAATGCAATGCTAGCGATAACTATCTATCCTAATCATTTTTCCTTTGGCATCTTTGATCTGGTATCTGGTATCTGGTATCTGGTGTCTGGTATTGGTATCTGTTATCGTTTCTGGTATCTGGTATCTGTTGTCTGGTATCTGTGTCTGGTATCTGGTATCTGTCTGGTATCTGGTATCTGGTGTCTGGTATCTGATGTCTGGTATCTGGTATCCGGTATCTGGTGTCTGGCATCTGGTATCTGGTGTCTGGTGTCTGGTATCTGATGTCTGGTATCTGGTGTCTGGTGTCTGGTATCTGGTATCTGGTATCTGGTATCTGGTATCTGGTGTCTGGTATCTGGTATTGGTATCTGTTATCTCTTATCTGGTATCTGGTTTCTGGTGGCTGGTATCTGGTATCTCGTATCTGGTTTGGTATCTGGTATCTGGTATCTGATGTCTGGTATCCGGTATCCGGTGTCTGGTATCTGGTATCTGTGTCTGGTATCTGGTATCCGGTATCTGGTGTCTGGCATCTGGTATCTGGTATCTGGTTCTGGTCTGATGTCTGGTATCTGGTGTCTGGTGTCTGGTATCTGGTATCTGGTATCTGGTGTCTGGTATCTGGTTTTGGTATCTGTTATCTCTTATCTGGTATCTGGTTTCTGGTGGCTGGTATCTGGTATCTGGTATCTGTATCTGGTGTTTGGTATCTGGTATCTGGTGTCTGGTATCTGGTATCTCGTATCTGGTATCTGGTTCTGGTGTCTGGTATCTGGTCTGGTATCTGGTATCTGGTGTCTGGTGTCTGGTATCTGGTCTGGTA